TGGGTCTTTTCCTGCTCGGTAGACCGTCAGCACTTGGAAAAACACGCCAAAGCAAAGGAAAAACGATTACAGCAAAAATGCATGTTGCCTATAGGCCTCATAGAGCGAAAATGCCATGACCTAACTTTGCCAAATGGAGTTATTTTGCCCAAGTGTTGGGTCTTTTCCTGCTCGGTAGACCGTCAGCACTTGGAAAAACACGCCAAAGCAAAGGAAAAACGATTACAGCAAAAATGCATGTTGCCTATAGGCCTCATAGAGCGAAAATGCCATGACCTAACTTTGCCAAATGGAGTTATTTTGCCCAATTGTTTGGTCTTTTCCTGCTCGGTAGACCGTCAGCACTTGGAAAAACACGCCAAAGCAAAGGAAAAACGATTACAGCAAAAATGCATGTTGCCTATAGGCCTCCTAGAGCGAAAATGCCATGACCTTACTTTGCAAAATGGAGTTATTTTGCCCAAGTGTTGGGTCTTTTCCTGCTCGGTAGACCGTCAGCACTTGGAAAAACACGCCAAAGCAAAGGAAAAACGATTACAGCAAAAATGCATGTTGCCTATAGGCCTCATAGAGCGAAAATGCCATGACCTAACTTTGCCAAATGGAGTTATTTTGCCCAAGTGTTGGGTCTTTTCCTGCTCGGTAGACCGTCAGCACTTGGAAAAACACGCCAAAGCAAAGGAAAAACGATTACAGCAAAAATGCATGTTGCCTATAGGCCTCATAGAGCGAAAATGCCATGACCTTACTTTGCCAAATGGAGTTATTTTGCCCAAGTGTTGGGTCTTTTCCTGCTCGGTAGACCGTCAGCACTTGGAAAAACACGCCAAAGCAAAGGAAAAACGATTACAGCAAAAATGCATGTTGCCTATAGGCCTCATAGAGCGAAAATGCCATGACCTAACTTTGCCAAATGGAGTTATTTTGCCCAAGTGTTGGGTCTTTTCCTGCTCGGTAGACCGTCAGCACTTGGAAAAACACGCCAAAGCAAAGGAAAAACGATTACAGCAAAAATGCATGTTGCCTATAGGCCTCATAGAGCGAAAATGCCATGACCTAACTTTGCCAAATGGAGTTATTTTGCCCAAGTGTTGGGTCTTTTCCTGCTCGGTAGACCGTCAGCACTTGGAAAAACACGCCAAAGCAAAGGAAAAACGATTACAGCAAAAATGCATGTTGCCTATAGGCCTCATAGAGCGAAAATGCCATGACCTAACTTTGCCAAATGGAGTTATTTTGCCCAAGTGTTGGGTCTTTTCCTGCTCGGTAGACCGTCAGCACTTGGAAAAACACGCCAAAGCAAAGGAAAAACGATTACAGCAAAAATGCATGTTGCTAGTTCTAGAAATACTCATTCTCACTCCTTGCTATTTCTAGAAATACTCTTTCTCACTCCCTTTTTGGGTTTTTTTGCATCCTTACTTCAGGCTAAATTTTGGTCTAGGTTTAAATCTAAACTTTGAGAGATTTACAGGCGGAAGGATAATTCTATAAATAATGCCTCGACATTTAAGCGGATGTTGATAAAGTAGTTGTTTACTTTCAGTTTGACTACTTTAAGTTTTTCATAGTCATGATATATTGAATTTGTGTCCAGAAACTAAGTACTGTCCATGCTTTAATGCCACATGTTGGACAGTTTTCTACTAGATTTCTGGATTCGAGTTTATACGAGTTGGATAGAAGGTCAATACCACATCTAAATTTGCACAAATTTATTCTATCTTTAAAGATACACCAGAAGGCTTTCAGGGTGCTTATCTAGATGTATCTAATTCTCAGCTTAGTCAATTGGATTTTTGGCGGTTGCACAAGGTATCTAAAAGATCTTACCTTGTTCGTTTAGATATGAAACATCTAGCATCATTTATAAGTACATGTATATAACGCCTGTGATAGACTTGGTGTTCCACTGGTCAATAATGAAATATGCACTGATAGGAAACTACAAGGAAATTAAGATTTGGAATACTAGTTTTTAATTGGAAACTCTGGCAGATTCTAGGAGTTTTATGGCTGAAAACTATGACCAAGCCATTTATAGCTTTAAACAAGAATAGAACAGAAAACTAAAACTGAAACTCTAGTTAGTTAGAATACAACTTTTCAACTCAGAGAATACCAATGTGTGTAGGTCATCAAGAATTTTAAGGAACAAATTGTTAATGACAAGTTTACAAGATTACACCTCGTGTAGCAGCATGGGGTCAAATTCCTTATTTTGTGGAAATTGGCAGCCATTGACAGTAAGATGTTGGACTGCATGGTGTTGATAAAGGGTTTAAAGAAAGTCAACATTAGCATGCTATAGGATTGGTTTCTATAATAAAGCTGTCTTACATTCTCGAGAAGTTTAGTTTAGTACCTAAACTTAATGACAAGTAAAGACCATTTATTATTTTATAATATCTCAATGAGCTTTAATATGAACATTATAAGCACGAAACCTTTAATATTGCCTTGCAATTGGTTCAGAGAAATAATATTTTCAACTATAGATCTTAACGATGCTTACTTCATTAATTACATACATGAATAATATCACAAATTTATCTTAAATTTACATGGAAGCAAGTTTATTACCGTATATATTCTAATAGACTGCATTAACAAACATATCTTATTTCATACTTGATATCATATCAAATATTGGCTGAATATTTATAAGATCTCCGGGTAGGACGATAAGACAAAATTTCCTTAAAACCGCTTGTAACTGTCAACTGCTCCTTCTAGGCATTGTACATATATTACGATTTGAAATAATCAGAAACATTGAAGGACTAACTTTGAGCCAGTCTAGCACGGCATTCATTCTACAAAAATGGGGCATGTTTGTAGTCTCCATTGGGCGGAAAGTCGAAAATCAATGGAGAAGCTACACATGTCTAAATTAACAATTACGAAAAAAACACATTAATCATAGTGATTATATTGTTTTAATCCTTGTCATTGTTGCCTCACACTATATATTCTGAATGCCTTGTTATTTTGTATCATTGCTTGATAAAGATGAAAGAATCATCGTCGAAACGTCGCAAGTTATTTATTAAAGTAATTGTTATCTATATAATTGTGTTCGTGTTAATATCATCAATTACTAAATGCCACTCAAGGAAGTTATTAATCATAGTGATCCGGAATTTTTTTCTTTTCAAAACAGATACAAGTTTTATGTTATTAAACTGTCAAAGTTTTCCATCAACAATATAAACTTCCAAATGGATTGTGACTTGTCAAGTCAAGTAACTTAATAACAATATTGGTATTAAAGTTAATTAATTAATTGTTTTGTTTTTTCATTCGAAAAAGTAATAGGCCTAGTACAGTTCGATGCTCCATGACATCTTAGTTGAATATTTCACCCCTTCGCGCAATCGACCATCTCCTATCCCCCTTTGCCCCTCCGAACAATTAGGTCTGGCTACGGGCCTGAACTGATGAATATACACGTTTACACTTATTGACCAAGTGTGAAAGCATAGGCCTACTTTAAGTTCTATGTCCATTATAAGAGGTATAACCAAGTACTACTTAGTAGTATTCCTTTAACAGAGTGCATGGAAAAAAAGAAAATATGAATATGCTGGGTCTAAAAACAGGTAGGTAGGTAGGTAGATGACGTTAACGTCAACGTTCGCTTCCAAATTGGATGATTCTGTGTTGTTGGTTTGGTTGTTGATTCTTCGTTAGATCTGGTCGGGTCGATCGAATGACATGGCGGTGAAACTCGGCCCTGGATGGTGTGGCGTGGGGTACTCGATCTCCTTCATTCTTCCAAACTCGTTCTGATCATGGTATTTCCTGTTGATTGGTAGTCGAATGGTAGTCGTTGGTTTGGTTTGGTTATCTGTTATCTGTTGGAAAACTAGAAGACCTGAAAAAAAAGAAAAAAAAAAGAAAATGAGAAAAGAGGGAGGAAAAAATAAAAGGGGGAAAGATGATCTCTGATGTTTCTGCAATGAAACTTGTTAGATTGATTGGATATAATTAAAAAGTGTTAAGAAACTTTGAGTATAAAAACTTAGCCTATCTGTTCAAGACAGATTTGGTTATAAAATGGAAGACTAGTTCCATTATCGTATACCAGTGGTCTGTGGGTGGAGCCAAAACATTCTGTATGGTGAGTGGTATGCCGTTGGTTTCCAGGTACTCTGTCAGTGGCTTACGAGCGGGTTTCATTTCAGTGCATTGAATGGGGACATGCGACCTTGTCGCAACGTGGCCGCAGCGACATTTAATGGCGTCTCCGAGTACGTTGTTGTTCCGGAGTCTGGTTGCCTCAGATGGCTACAGATGGGTGGTTTGGTTTGGTTTGGTTTGGTATCTTCGGATCAATCTGGTATCTTGCGGTGTCGAGGTTCCGTAGCATGTCGGCCAATTTCTGGTTGATCCTAGAAGATACACGATACTGCAGAATTCCGAATAGGAGTAGGCTATTTTACAGGCTCGATATCCTCCAGACTCAGACTTTCCTTGGCACAACGGTCTGCTTGATCATTGCCAGGAATGGAGACGTGCGATGGAACCCATACTAATTCAATCTTGTGGTCGTTGTTGGTTTGGTAGTTAAGAGGTGAGAAAAATACACTGGAGGCTGCTTAGCGAAAACGGGGTTTATACAGTGGTGTAACCTATTTTCGTGGATATAAGGATTCAACACCGAATTTCGTCAAAGTAAAAAAAATGAAAATTTTTTTTTGTCTTAGATGTTTCCTCAGATATTCTACAAAATAATTAAAATTGGTTTATTTCGATTTTCTTTATGAATCCCTCATTTTGACCCATATTTCATGAGCAACCAACATGGCAACGGCGGCAGAATGCGTCACCTATTTTCGTGTACAATGTTTGATCTATAAATAAGTCGAGAAAAACACGTTGTATAGATACCGGGTGGTATAATTAACTTCTCTTAGTAGTTATCTTTAATATTAATTCATTATAACTAGTGACAATTCCTTCAAAGAACCACGATTTTAAAATAAAATAGTGACTGACAAAATAAGATACCTAGCGTAATTTATTGCTAAAAGTCACTGAAACAACATAAGAATATGGTCCACTTTGTGTTCCATAGAAATTTTCTGCTGACACGGAATCCGCTAGTTGATCACGTGACTTCATTCGTTGGACTACATTCTAGCAGACGACACTTGGAATTCCGATTACCGCTTGGGATTATAAGGAAATTCGGCCGATAAAAAATGGTGAAGTTTGGTAATAACTGAAATCCGCCATTTTGTATTTGTCAAAGTATACATTAATACATTGTCCCTTGCTTGAAACTACTGGATTCATTCTACTAGCTGATATTGAAACCCATGTTTATCAAAACAAACTAATGCGGAGGTCGCGCAAGGTCGCTCATGTAAATTATTAAACATTTCCGGAAATCCACGAATAATAGGTTTCCACGAAATTAGGTTACTTGACTGTATATTGACGACTGAGTCCTAGTTATTGCTCGTTAATAATTAGGCCTACAATTCATTTGTCTAAAGATAATATTTCGATAAGAAGTACTTTCGATTTATCTTCAACTTTGACCTTTGATACTTGTTTATCAGGCCTCCAAGTAAAAATCAATGGTCGAATGACTTGATAATCTGACCTCTGAGGTCAATAAAAGTTCAATATCTGGAACAATAAAATGCAGGTTAACAATTTTATGATACATTTTTCCAGCTCTGTCTCATAATCCGTTTCATCAATGCAGTGGCAAGTAAGTGTGCTTTTTGCATCTCTGACGAATGACGATTTGTCAATAATACAAATTCCCTTCAATCTACTTCTTGGCATTTGCGTATTCATTGAAGAAGAGATCCTTGGAATTTGAGACTTGTACTAGGCTACTTAAGTAGGCTACAATAGGCTTACTGTAGTTTAATTGACAAGATTAATTAAATGATGTTATACTAGTTGCCAGTAGTAGGCCCTATTTCTGACAGAATTGGATATAGTATATAATTACTATAATAAAATATTTTCAACGTTGCAATAACAAAGGGCACCGATCTGTTTTGCAAACAGGAGTGGGACACATATCTTTTTGGGGTACCGGTACTGGTCGAAAGGCTGGATAATATAGCAGATTATATAGTTTTTAGTTTGTAGAACAAGGGAAATCATTTATTAAAGTTATTCTTCCCTGAATTTTGACTGACGTTCCAGATGTTTCTGAAGGCTGCAAAGTATGTGTCAATGGCAACGGTGAAGATGTTACTTTCATATTAGGCCTACCTGTCACAGACCGATCTCTGTTACCGACATTATCCTGTTAGGGTTTTTTTAGCTGTCTGGATAAAGTTTTTGAGATTCTTCTTGAACATTTTTGCACCAACCAACCAAAAGTGATTGAAAAAAGCTAGGCCTGGCAGACGGTAAATAAGCGAGTATGCAGCAATCTGTTTAACGTGACGTAATAAATCATGCAGATAGATTTGTTGACGATACATTGTGTGTGCTGATGTAGAGACAGAAAAACTAGGCCCTGTTTTGTGTGGATTTTCATCAACTCTGAAGGTGTTTTTTTTTTAAGTTCCACCAAACTTATAGACCTACATACCAGTTTTGGAAAAGATGAGAAACCTCTTTTCAATCCCTTAAAGGGAAATAATAATATTAAAGAGACATGGACATTGTCGTACACATTTCATATTTAAAGTATTATTCATAAATGTCAGTCTTCCATTTTTCTTTCCAGAAGTAAAACTAATATGTCATCTGAGAAAACAGCATTACTATCCAACAGTCATGATGAAATACAAACAGACATTGACAGGAATGTAACCTATGGTAGTCATGGTAATAGCACCACCCTCAACAACGATGAGGGGGAATATTATGGTAATCAGGTGCTTGAGAGATCGGGCGGCGATATCAATCAGATTAATTTATCCTGGGAAAATATCAATATAACTGTCCACATGAAAAGCGAGAACAAGAAATGTTGTCGTGGTGGCGGCAGCACAGGAACCAAACGTATTTTAAAAAGTGGTTAGTTAAGTGTCTTTATGACTATAATTTTCTAAAATACCAAGCTTTCCTTTGCCATGGCATTGTTATAAAACTATAAGGCAAAACCTCAAACCAGAAAGGTCATATCTACAGAGAAAGCCCTTTGTTGTCAATGAATGGATGCACATATGACCTTTTAATATATTGGTAATATTTGTAAATCTATTAAAGGTAGATGGTTCAAAATAGTTCTATGATATTGATTATTATTAAACAAACATAACTGACAGGCAGAATGTCTTTCAACCTTACAGAAAATTTGAAACTATGTACCTGTAGAATAACATCATATATTATCATGATCTCTTTCTCTATATGTTTTTTCTATGATTAATGATTTATAATTATTATTTTCAGTAAGTGGAATGGTGAAGCCAGGCCGTCTGCTAGCTATAATGGGGGCAAGGTAAGTGTCACACCTTGATTTCAACTAAATATATCTGATATTGATTTATTTGTTATGATTCTTTAAATTAATTTTTTTATATGCCTATATGTATTAGATTTAGAAGTACAAAATTAATAACCGAGCTTGAAATAAGCAGTTTCACGCTGTGTTATCTCTGCACGGAGTGAATTTCTGTGTAACAATATGTTACGAATCTGATTCAATATTTCTATATCATTCTTCAATTAATTTATTGAAAACTATTTTAAGGGTGAAAATATTTATTTATTTATATTTTTATTATAATATTTTTTATTTATTCTAAATTTTGAGTCAAATTCTTTATTTTTTTTCTTTTGATTGTTTTCTATATATTTTGATTATGTCCATCTAACATATATTGATATATAAAATATACAGTATTAAAACTTTGTAAAAGTTGTGAAATTATTTTACAGTGGGGCAGGAAAATCAACACTAATGAATGTATTAACTGGTAGAAATATCAACCAGTACCAATTAGAAGGACAGATTAAAATTAACGGTATTGAAGTTGGGCGTGGAATAAAAAATATCTCCGCCTATTGTCAACAAGATGAACTATTTATTTCTACTCTAACTGTTAGAGAACATCTTCAATTTAGGGTAAGGTAATTTTAGATTAAGAATTCATTAGGATTTTCTGTTCACCAAGTCACCAAGAGCTGTATTCCCAAGGAAAAAGAGAAAAATTAACGAGAATATTTTACAATCTGAAGATTCTATCATAATGATGTTTTGGATAGAAAATTGACTGCTAGTTTTGTAACAGGTTGAAACAAACCCAGGATACAAATGTAAATATTCCAATAATTATCATCATTGAAATTCATGTTTCTTTACTTATACCACCTTTAAGCTCAACAAATAACACATTATCTATAACATTCACTCTAGGCATTGTTAAGAATGGATAGGAGTATTTCCAAGGCTGGTAGACTACAGAGAGTAGAAGAAGTTATAAGAGAGGTAGGCATTGGATTGTAGATTTATGTGTCATTTTTGCAGAAATTATATATTGTTCTCAAAAAAGGTAACTACTGTTGCTTTTGTATTGTAATCTTTTCAAAATATAGGACTGAGAAGGCATTTCTTCAGAATTTAACTTAGTTCTTATATTTTTTATTTCCATTTTAGCTAGGCTTGTTATCTTGTGCTAATACTCAGATTGGTGGAGAAAGAATTAAAGGTATTTCTGGTGGCGAGAGGAAAAGATTGTCATTTGCATCTGAGGTAAAATCCTTAACATACTTTTGCCCTAGGAAAAACTGAACTGGACTTATTAAAGCATAATATAGTAGTATACAAGTATTTGTTATTTCACCTTCAGGTTTTCGTCAAAAAGTTCCTTTCGTTAATGATGGCATGTAGGGTCAGCTCTTTTCTGAAATTATAAATTGTAAATTTTATCAGGTATTAACCAATCCACCATTGATGTTTTGTGATGAGCCAACGTCTGGTATCGACACATTTATGGCTATGAATGTTGTACAGACATTAAAAACTATGGCAAATAAAGGCAGAACTATTTTATGTACCATTCATCAACCATCATCAGAAGTCTACGCCATGTTTGATGAGTAAGTCGGTTTTGAATATTCCAAACACTGATTGCAGTGTAAATAATGGTATAGTAGTGGTCTCAAATGGGTAGTACCATCAGGTGTTTCAAAAATCTCATATTTCAGACACATGATTTAAATATAAAGTCAGGACAGCTTGTTTTGTAAACGAGGATTAAATTTCCAATATTACCTATTTGGTGCTAGAACTATCTGTGCTAGAACTATCTGTGCTAGAACTATCTGTGCTAGAATCATCTGTGAATGCAGAGAATTGTGCTAATGCTTGATCAAGAGCATTTATCATGTCATAGGTACAGTACAGTACTGTTAGTACTTCTCCACTACTATACATTATTGCTCCAGATTTGTACAGGTTAATGTTGCTTGTTCAGCTTTTTTATTACTTAACAGTGTTTAAGTTTAAGTGTCCTCAGAAATTATTTCGTTCTATTTCAGAGTATTATTATTATCAGAAGGTAGAACAGCTTTTCTTGGTTCTGCTGACGATGCTTTCACCTTCTTTAAACAGTATGTATTCTTTTTATTATTTGTCTCAATATGTCTGGTGTAAATGTTGTAAAACTCTCGCCACTCTGCCAAAAATAATATTCTAGACTTTATGTCCCCACAAATAAGATTTTTTGGACAAATACATAAGATTTCGTGCCTACAAAAATCCAGCAATAACCTTATAATATTATTTCAGGTTAAACTATCCATGTCCCAATAACTATAACCCAGCCAGCAGATTACTGTATATTATTATTTCAGGTTAAACTATCCATGTCCCAATAACTATAACCCAGCCAGCAGATTACTGTATATTATTATTTCAGGTTAAACTATCCATGTCCCAATAACTATAAGCAAACAGATTACTGTATATTATTATTTCAGGTTAAACTATCCATGTCCCAATAACTATAAGCGAGCAGATTACTGTATATTATTATTTCAGGTTAAACTATCCATATCCCAATAACTAAAACCCAGCAGATTACTGTATATTATTATTTCAGGTTAAACTATCCATGTCCCAATAACTATAACCCAGCAGATTACTGTATATTATTATTCAGGTTAAACTATCCATGTCCCAATAACTATAACCCAGCAGATTACTGTGTATTATTATTTCAGGTTAAACTATCCATGTCCCAATAACTATAACCCAGCAGATTACTATATATTAACATTAGCTATTGTACCAGGCCAGGAGAAAGAATGTAAACAGAAAGTCGCTGTAAGTAATACCATATATTCATAAAAAATTCTTTAACTTTCTGGAAAAGAATTGAGCCTGGCTAGTTAACAAAACTCTATGTTGGAGATAATACCTTTTCTTATACGCCCACATGAAATATTGCCGTCACCCATGTCCGTCTGTCCGTCGGTCCGGCCGTCCGTCTGTCCACAATTGCTCGTAAACACTCTACAAGACACAATTCTTAACGGATTTTGACAAAACTAGGTATGAGTGTTCGTAATCACCCAAGGATAAACCCAACTGAAAATCAGAAAAATCTAAACATATTTAGTATGAGTTATTGCCCTTGCTCTTGAAAACACGTTCAATTTTTATCTCGTAATCATTCTAGAAGGCACAATTCTTGACGGATTTTGATGAAACTTGGTGTAAATGTTCGTTATCACCCAAGGATGAACCCTATTGAAAAGCAGAAGAATTGAAAAATATTTAGTATGAGTTATTGCCCTTGTTCTTGAAAACGCTTTCAAATTTAGCTCTTAAACACTGAAAGGCATGATTCTTGCTGGATTTTATTACTCAGTCTGAATATTTGCCTTCTAGAGTTTTCATGAGCTAAAAATTGAACACGTTTTCAAGAACAAGGGAAATAACTCATACTCAATATTATTCAATATCGCCCTAAAGATTTCAAAAGAAGTGTATGACTGAAGGTTGAATATTTCATACTGGTGATTGTTACTGTGCTGCTAAATATTTTTGTTCAAAATCAAAGCTGCCAGTGGGCATATATTACCTTGCCTGGCAAGCTATCTTTTTTAACTTTGTCTATTTCTCTTGACGTCTTAAATATTGACCACTGTCTGTGTAAAATCGTGTTTAAGAGACAGTCTGGCTAAGCTGTAGTCTTACATGTCAGGACAACACTTCACTAATATATATCGTAAAGTGTTTGTTTCAATGGTGTAATCTGTCAAACCCGGTAGACCATCCCTCATGTCTGAATGCATGGCATTTTCAGTCTCTATTAGCTATATCAGGATGAGCATGACCTTATATATAAACTAGTGTCCAAAAGAAACGATACCACCTGTTAGCAACGACATAAAAGAAAAACTAAACAATGCAGAAGTTTAGGATTGGTGTTATGCTTTTGAGAAATCCTTTCTCAACATCTGTACAAAAATTTCATTTCAATAAAATCTGTACAACCAATATGACAAGCCTTTAAAGATGGGTGGGGTCGAAAAAAGAACATTTCGTTAGAGCACTGATCACAGAAACAACGGGAAATGTCACACCACACGTCACAAAGTCAAGTCAGTAGCGGGTATGTCCACCGTGAGCATCAATACATGGCAGAACACGCCTACGGACTGATGCCGTCAAACGTATGATGACGTTGGGAGTGATGCGTTGCCATTCCTCGAGGAGATATCGTTCCAAGTCCTGGACGTTGACTGGAGGCACACACGGCGACGTCGGATTTGCCGATCGAGGTGGTCCCATAAGTGCTCGATGGGATTCATGTTTGGTGAACATGCGGGCCATGGCAAAACCTGTACGTTGGCGTTGGCAAGGAAGTTCTGTGTCAATCTTGCTGTGTGTGGCCTTGCATTGTCATGTTGGAAAAGGAGTCCACGAGGCTGTTGCTGAATAAAGGGCACCACAACAGGCCGTAGGATGTCATCAATATAACGCTGTGCATTCAGGTTTCCACGAATTACGACAAGCCTCGTTTTGACGTCACCACATATGCCACCCAAAACCATTAACCCTCCACCTCCAAACGGCCGGACCTGTTGGATACACATAGGCGCCAAACGTTCACCAAATCGTCGGTATACAAGCTGCCGTCCATCGTTTTTGAAGATGAGGAATCTGCTCTCATCAGAGAACATAACACGTGCCCAGTCCCGCCGTTGCCAACGTCGAACTCGCCTGGCCCAGATCAGTCTGTTGTTCCGGTGTCGAGGCGTCAGGAGCGGTCCGCGGTAGGGATGACGTGGCCGGATACCATACTGCCGTAGTCTCCTGTAGACGGTCTTTCGACTGATCCTGTGTCCCAGTGCTGTAGCCGCCGTGGACGTCTCTGTTACGGTGCGGTTCCTCAGGTGTAATACCCGAATGTAACGATCTTCACGGGACGTGGTTACTCGTGGTCTTCCACTCCTGGGCCTGTCTGACGTCTGACCTGTCTGACGTAACCGCTGCATCAACCTGCTTATAGTGATGCGTGCGCAGCCCAACCTTCTGGCGACGTCGACGTGTGTTGCTCCTTGTTGGACAATTCCAACGGCTCTCTCTCTCTCGATGGCTGTCAAACGTGGCATATCTTGTGTTTTTTATGTTGCTGTGATATCAACGTGTCTGATCAGCCGTTTTATACAGTTTTTATGCACGTGCAGAACATGCTAGAGAGGGAAATGTCACTTTCATGAAATTTACGTTTACGAAGTGATCACGTGTTCCCGGTCTTTTTATCGACTATGCTGTGTTTGGGATGTGCAATACGAATTGGCATGTTTTCATGTTAGACAATTCACTTAGTAAAAAACAATTTTGAAAATAAGTTGGTATCGTTTCTTTTGGACACTAGTTTAATAACAGAAATTATTGATTAAAACACTAATACTAAGTGGAAATACTACTGCTGAAATTATTACATACTACATTTCAAAACATGTACAGTTATTGTTTTAATGTTAACTTCCTTCTTCTATAAAAATTTCATTGCAACTTAAAAGATTAAATCCTCAAAAATGATTTGTGATTAGTTATCCTTTTGGGGTTGCTCTTTTGAAAATTATTATCAGCCTATAGGCAGATCAAGCTATCAAAACATGTATATAATATCATTATATTTATTATTTTAGGCTATCAGTGATGCGTTTGACACTAGCGTTCAATATAATCAGATAAAGAAAGATATGGATGAAATTAATTCTGCAAATCTACATGAAGAAAATATGATTCTAGTGAGTTCATATTGTTGAAACATATTCTAATTTAGTTCTATATGTTAATTTAATTTTTGTTGTTACTGGCTCAAGCAGTTAAATATTTGTTATAGCACAGTTGATTGGAATGTTGGTTCTTTACAGTCATGAAATCATTTGCTTCGTTACATCCAGCAAATGGTGGCTGTGGGTTCTAATCTCATAATTCCAGTACCCAGCTGTAAATGGGTACAGATAATCTTGGAAAGAGGTTAAGCCAAGAACCAGCCAGCAGAAGGATCCTTTGTGAACTTAAGTTGTTGTTCTTGTGAAATATAGATGTTTCTTTCTTCCTTTCTATCATGGGTTAAAATGTGTATCAAATGTTTTTGTTTGTTTCTTATAGATGCAGGATGCTTTTGCAAATGAATCAAGGTTAGTCTAATAGATTAACTGTTGTTCTGGCTAAGACTGTATATTGAAATATCTCTGCCAAGAAATTGAAAATAAATACAGCATATTACAAATGAAATGTGATAAATGGAGTTTTTGTCCTACTTTTCTTTTTCGATTTCAAACTGTCGAGGGATCGTTAACATGACAGTATATTACAATTAAAAAGAATTAGGATAAGTCACAATTTCACAAATAGAAATTTATGAGTATATGGTGGGGAAAAAGAGGCTGAGGAATTTGCTTATCTTATGTCATTTTTCTAGAGATTGCCTGTCCTTGTGGTGTGCCTTTGCCTTTCGTATTCTTTCCAAAACTTCACTGACATAAAAATGAGTATCTTATATGCTTTGTGACCATAATATAATGCATACACACTCCTTGTAATGCAATGTACCTATAGGTGGCTAGATTTAGCATTGATATGCCCTGTATACTGAATAATCAAATTGTCATTATGATGATGATATATTAACAGGTATACAGCCTCATGGTTTCAACAGTTCCGGGCAGTATTCTGGAGAAGTTGGATCAGTATTTTAAGAGATGTATTTTTATTCCGTGTTCGTGTTGCTCAAACAATGGTAAATAACTTTGATCTATATTGTAAGGTTTTCAGTTTTTGGCCTGATAGAAATTTAGTGTAGACTTTTACTGACTGCCCTTCGAGGCAATCCAGTTTTGCTCACTTTATTCCATAAGGTTTATGCATACTGCATTGCTCATCTTCACCAGCACAATATACTGCCAAAACAGTAGAACATAAACCTTCCTTCATTACATCAGTCTGAAAATGTGTATAGAGAAGTATTGTTGGATGACATACATTTTGTACTTATTTTATAATTGGAAATATAATTAATAATAATTACCCTGAAGTAAATTTGGAAAAATCCTTGTAAATAATGATATTTTAACATAATGTAAAATCCATTTCATGAAGATAGTATCTGATATATAATTTCTGTATATTTATAGATAGTTGGTGTTATACTTGGTTTAATTTACCTCCAACAAGACTATAATCAAACAGGAGTAATGAATATAAATGGAGCAATGTTTTTATTTATCACTAACATGTCTTTTACTAGTATGTTCGCAGTCGTCAATGTAAGTAATATTTAACTTTAAAAATTTTACGATATTTTTTACAGGAAAAAAAACGTGCAAATGTGGATGTGGATATTCAAAAGGAGTATCTAAAGTTGCACTTTGTCTATGAAAATATACTTCATTATACAATGCATAGCATTGCAAACTTTTTCAACCAGTAGGTGCTAAAAATAGGTCTTAAAACTTTCATTAATTTTCAAATCTTTGAATATAATCTGAACACATTTCTTTGTGTGATTTTTAGACATTTCCAATAGAAGTAGCTATATTTCTACGAGAATATGGGAGTGGCTTATACAGAGTTGATATATATTATATTTGTAAATCTCTGGCAGAGGTAGGACAATGTCCCTTATCATATTTTCAAAAAGATATTAACATTTTATAGGTTAATAAATCTTACAACATCAATTTTAGATTGATATAGAAATATTAAAAGAGAACCTGAAACATGTTATTATTATAGTTTTATTAAGCTAAACAATTAAAAAATAAAAGCTGATTGCCCAACTTATCAACCTGAAATATATAAATTTCTAAGTTTTTTAAATCTCTAAATGACCATGGATTAGATTAAAAACTTAAATTTGTCGTCTAAACTAGAATCAAGAGATTCTTCAAAGTTAAAGGAGGTTTTAAAATTTGTATCTAATATATGTTTACTTGATGCTGCCAGATCCACCAGATCTGATAATACTGATCTACAATACGAGTTTTAATTTCTATAATATTAAAAAGTTGAGGTTCTGAAAATACATAAGTAAAACCTGTTTCATCAAACAATTTTCTGATATTCGAGACCCAATTTTGTTTACCTTAATAGTGCTATTTCATTGAAGGCAGTGGATAATGGTGTGGCCAAGATATAGTGGCCCGTAAGCACCAAATGAAATTAAGTATAATTTAATTCTATCCTGCCCGAATAACATTGACTGTTAAGTTAATTCTATATTTTGTATGCACCACATAGAATTACCTTAAATGTATTTAAAAATTGGCCAGACCAGTTTTAACTTTTAATTCTATTTGTAAATCAGAAGAAATTCTGTTTGTGGTTCTTGGATGTTTCAAAATGGACGATTATTTCGATGATTTAGATGAACTTAATGAAATCAACCATGTTATTCCCATCAATAGACATGTCAAGGATCGCCTGGACCCCTTCACATGGCTTTCGTCGTCGTCATCATCTTGATCAAGTTTATAGAGGTTCAAACGTCTGAAGGCAGGAATCTTTAATATTCTGACAGATGTTGTCTAGTTCTGTAGGCTCTTACCCTCCCCCTGTTTCCGAACCTCTCGTTTTCTAGCTGCGTATTTCAGCTTAGCTTTGGTGGTTAGGATGCTAAGACATATTTTAATTTCCTTTTTCTTTCTTGCTGCAGAACCTTTGCTGGGGTTGTAAACATCTTGGTGATTTTTTGGTTATTCACTCAGAAGCTCTTTTTCATAAGCTGAAAAATTGACAGAACACGGTAGACCGGCCATGTTGAGTGAATATACAGAGTAACGATTTTACATCAACTGAAGCAAATATACAAACATTTTTGGGCAGAAAATTCACGATATTTATTGTGATTGAAATGTCCGTTTAGGCAATCAGAAATGTGCGTTTAGACGATCGGAAAGTGACGAATTTAACAGGCATATTTTGCATAAATGAAACATGACATGGATTCCAAATCAAGTTCATTTGCTCCTTCGAAGAATAGAAAGAATTAAAGATATCGTTCGATCTTACCCTTGATGATAATTGTCATAAAAGCTGTAAGACACCAGATGAGAGTCTATAGAGTTTCAGACTACAAGACATCCTCACTACATACAGCAGTGATTAAAATTTTAAATAAGAAATATGTCTTAGTGACCAATCTTTAGACTCTTTTGTCATATATAGATTGTGTATAGTGTGTGGTTTGAATGGAAAATAGAATTTCAATTGCAGTACAGATAAATATTTTTAGTTAATTGTTAGTTGGTGCATACAAAAAATAGAATTATCTTTAAATACATTTAATTAAAGAAATGATTATTAGTAAGCTTGCCATGATGGAAAATTACTATCTTTGAAATACTAACATGTCAGATAAGACAATATTCACTAAATAATAATAATTGAATTCGCAAAGATCATTAATAAAGATAAAAAATAATAGAGGCGAAAATGGTTTTTAATGTTACACCTAGCCTACTGCCAAATGAATCTGTTAAAGAACCTCTAAATTTGATAATACATTTAACATGTTCATACATCGACTTGATGATTTTAAGTAGCTCAAATCAATGAATGCTCAGAATAATTTTTGTTTGTTGTTCAAGGATATAGATATAATACTGTCTAGTGAAAAAATATAACGTTAAGAGTACTTGTGGAAGCCCTAAAACCAAATTGAAAATTATCAAGTAACTCGTTGGACCACACATTAAGCCTTAAATTTAAGATAATCGAAAACATAGTCGCACAGCATGAAACTCTGAGTAACAACATGTTTCAGGTTCTGTTCTGATATATTTAATCTGACATTACAATTATTAAAATTAAAGAAAATTGAATCTGATAATTTGTTACCACATTTAGTTTAATCAGAATTTCATTTTATTGCAGCTTCCTAGTTTCATTTTATTACCTGTTTTATTTTCTGCTGTGGTCTACTGGATGGTTGGTGAGTATCCATTTCGAAGTTTGTAGCAGGCAGTCAAGATGAGGACAGTTCTGCTATGATATTTCCTCCACTGACAGAGTTTTGAATTTGAAGAACTCTCTATTTTTCAGGTTTATATAGCAGTGCCGAAGCGTTTTTAATCTGTACTGGATATTTGATATTGGTAGCTCTTACAGCGATGTCTTTTGGTAATTTAATATTTCTTTATATTTTATTCAGGGGTATTATTCTAAGATCGTATATTGAAGAGACTAAGAGTAGTATATGATTCCTGCTTCAAAAATTGTATACATAGAAAATTTTGAATATAAATCGATCATATCAAAGAACAAATTTGAACAAGATCTATATATTAAGATTGTTTATTTTAAGTTATGAAATTGTTTATAAAGAGAAATTTTCTCTCTGTTTTCAGGTTATTTAATATCTACGTTAACGAAGTCAGTGAATGTGGCTCTGGCCATAGCTCCTCCTATTTTAATACCATTTATGTTATTTGGTGGTTTCTTCCTCAATAACTCGTAAGTAGAGCTAACTGTACTTTATCTACACTTAGACTGGACCCGATATCTACCTGGTCAAATGACTCACTGTGATTACACGAAAATTTGTTTACTTATACAATTAGCACTATTTTGTACCGGGAAAATTGGCAGTGCATATAGTTATTGTAAGGAGACATTTTGTATCTTGTAGATCTGTTCCTGACTATTTTATTTGGTTAGAATATATTTCATGGTTTAAATATGCAAATGAGATGATTTCCGTCAACCAATGGAAACGAGTAGGCAAAATAGGTAAGGGCGCAATTAATAAATCTTTTAAAGAAGGGCTGGCTCACTATATTTGGGCATATTGATAGGGAAGTATAGTATTACTTAGTAAGGGTTTGTGGTGACAGAAAATTAATGCAAATAGAGAATATTGTCTTCTTCCAAAGTTTAAAATTACACAGTCAGTGCTTTCAGATGAGAATAATTGAACCTGATTGATAATTTCAGACTGTCCAATACCATCCAACAGTAGCATGCCCATTAATGGAACCGATCCAAATTCAGGCTGTTTGTTTCCTGATGGAGCAAGTGTTTTACAATATTTAAATTTTTCAGATGTAAGTAAACTTCAATACCTAGACTTAGAGGGACAGGTTGGCCATTTTCAGGGTTGGTTCTTAAAAACTTATAAATAGTCTTCAAAAGTACTAAAACTGTATGAAAATTGCATAATTCCTTTAAAAATACCTCAAACTAGATATATTTGATATATCACAGAGTATCTTAAAATAAGTCGTCTTGTTAACTTTTAAATGCGAAAGTCTGGACACACATCAATATGAGGGCTTAATTTCCATGGTGAGCTGTGAACACTAACTATTACCAATAAGCTTAGCTCAAAAATAGGATCAGTTTAAACCTTTTAATAATCTGACTTAAATCCAAATTTAGAAATTATGTCTTTTGATTCTTTTGTGAGTCACTCCCTTTAATTAAAGTCTTGATGGACTCATTACTCGTTCAGCCTATGTGAAATCTGATAGTGCAAATATCCCTTCTGTATATATGACGTCCAAGGAAGTGATAGAACCAGGTTTGTAGGAATAAGTACAAAATATAGTCTGAGCCAATCCAGACTAATTCAAATGTGTCTTTTCTTTTTACAGGACCATTTTGTGAAAGATATTTCATGGCTGGTTGGATTGTTGGTTGCTTTTAGATTATTATCATTTTTATTATTATTATTTCGTGCTCGTAGATCATCCGCTTAAGAGATTTATTGTATTTTCTGGACAACGAAGATTATCTACTTAGTAACATAGATTTTTCAGTGATTTCAATAGCCGCATTGGTCAAAATTGATTTTAGGCTGTTTTTTTGTCAAATAGGATTATTGTATTATTTTGAATAATTTTAAGAAATAGGTGCAGGGTAAGCCTCAAAATATTAGAAGCAGTGGCCTGGCCACACAAAAATCAACATAGATAAAGATTCTTGTTTGATAAGTAGTATTTGCAGCTTAGAATTTTCTTCTCTCTCAACTAGAGAAAATCCTAGACAACTTTCTAAAAGGTGTAATAGGAATTAAATTTTGCCAAATATCGTGGGTGACCGCTAGAAACCTTGTATATGCCATATTCAGTCCTAACTTTTACTACCAAAAAAAAGAGTATTCTGTACTGCCCATGGTCAAGTGACTATAATTTGTTGGTATGTCTACTGTAAACAATATGTCATCAGGTCTTTACATTGCAATAAATCTGCCCAATTAAAGTTTCAAAATAAAGTTCGGGCCTAATGTTTGACCAGTATCATATTACATACATACACATCCTTATGGCCTCTCTTATATTAACTTTTCTTATTGACCTTCATTCAATTTTTTTAGAACCATTCTATAAACTCCTTGGTTTCTTTTGTATCTTGTTTTGAAATAATTCAATAATAACTTAATGAGTATTTCAACTGGTTGCGCTTGGCACTTGCAAATTGGCGCATGAATAGACTTTGAAAGAAATGAGCAAACAGTGAAATAATTGAAAATGAAAAGAAAAAAATCAGCAACTTCGCCTATGGACCCCACTGAGGCACCTTAAGTGGGCCACACGCTGCGACTGTCGCTTTACTCGGTATGCATGTATGTCCATAATGAGTTGCTGTTTCTGTCTAAATGTATTTTGCTGTAATGTAAAACACTTTAAAACCTCGGGGATCCATCGACCATCTATGGCGCTTCAGAAATTTCAGTCATGAAAAGCGACAATTTAGTTCATTTACTTACTTAGGCCTACCCTATTTTAGACTGCCAATTTTATGAACACAGATTTGGAGATTTAGATGCATTTCCTACAAGAACTTATTTGACATTTTATGGCTGGAATTATTATTTAATATTATTTTGAGGAACACCTCTATTTATCTGAATAGATACGTTAGCCTCCAAACTTTTTATATGGTTTTGAAATGCTAAAACTTTGCAGCTTTTTAAAAATTGCAAAATTTGATCACATATAAAATTGTGTTTCTATAGTGGTTAGATTTGTTTGTTGATATTCCTGATTGATAGGATTCTGATTTCTGAAATTTCACGACTATCTTCCTTTCAAAGAACAGGGTTTTGCTAAAGAGAACCAAAATTTCAAATTTAATCTAGTGAAGAAGGGCTCTATACTAAATTTAGAACATGAAATCTAATACCAGGGTGCCAAAAACAGGTCAAGTTATTGTACTTTCTTAGTGAGGTATTATCAATTGGTGACAACATGCAATGTAAATTTGTATCATATCTGTCAAAGAGTAATGAACCATCACATTCCAGTTTTGGCTGTAATGGCCGCCAAGTGGTAGTAAAAGTTAGGACTGTATTTGGTCATTTTGACTATTTGGTACCGCTCGTAAGAGCGCAGATCTTGTGATCAAAACCTCTTTTTCGTGGGTTGATTGTAAACAACCCAAAAAGCACTAATTAAATAACACGTATATAAACAGTCAGATTTAAAACCTCGTAAAATATATTATTATACGAGGTTCAATGTTCCTTTTTCCGCGGATGAAAATGAAAAACCTTGTATACTGTATTATTATACGAGTTTTTGATTCAATAGGCTGGAGAACTCAAATTGTTATACGAAGTTTATATTTTCAAAGAATGAAAAAAAGCGGTAAAAAAAATAACAAAAAGATTTTAACAAAATACGCGTACAAAGTAATTTTGCGTCATATATTGTTATACGAGGTTTTAAGCAGTCATCCACGATATACAACATTTTCAAATGCCTCCATTTAAAATACAAGGCATTTAACTTAAAGGGATTGTAAAAGAGGTGTTCTTATATGTGTTTCTTAATTTAAGACTGTCATAATTTTTAAGTATTTTAAGAATTTTACTGGTAATTTTTCAGTGCAATCAGATTTGTGCAAGAAGATTTTTATACGCCCACATGGAAATGTGGATGCATGTAGATATTGATGAGATCTCGGTCAAGTTCGACATTTGTAATAATCGGATAAATGGTTTCAGAATTATTGCCCTTGACTTAGTAAAATCTCGTCAAATTTGACTTGTAGGCATGATAGAAACTTGGTATGCATCTATATATTGATGAGATGTTGGTCAAGTGCGGAATTGGTAATAATCGGATGAACGGTTTCAGAGTTATTGCCTTTGACTTAGTAAAAACGAATCAAATTTCGATTGTAGGCACGCTAGAAACTACAGTTTTTATCCAACCTAGATGAAACTAGGTATGCATGTATCTATTGATGAGATCTCACTCGAGTTCGTAATTGGTAGCAATCGGATGAAGGGTTTCGGAGTTATTGCCCTTGACTTAGTAAAAACTTGTCAAATTTGGCTGGCAGGCACAATAGAGACTACAGTTTTTATCCAACCTTGATGAAACTAAATATGCATGATGAGATCTCGGTCAAGTTAAAAATTGAATCAAAGTTATTTTATTGCCCTTGTGTGTACAGCGATGAGACATTGTTCATGTTTGAATTTCATGATAACTTGATGAACTGTATCAGGTTTTTGCCTTGACTTATGGATGATTTTAAGATTATTTGAAAATTTATTATAAAGCCACAAAACATTTTGTTATCATTCTGACAGCTGGTAGTGGCCGTATGTTACCTTGTCTGGCAAGCTATCTTTAGTTATTTTAAGTGACCACTATTTTAAAAATAAATTTTATAAAATTATTTATTTCCATGATAAGGGAACAATAAGAGCTTGGTAAAATCTTTACCATTATTTGATAAAATGATTTATTTTCATGACTAAGAATTTGACAATAAACAAGGTGATATACCAGTGAATGATACTCTGTCAGCCTATAAAGTGAATAATTAAATTATTTTATCCTTTGATTTAGCATATATAATATATAATATTAATGGTATTTAATTTTGTATTAGAAGGGCTAGTTTCACATTTCCAACATCTGTCAGATAATGTTTTCTCTCACTGAACACAAATGTACAGGATATATTAGACTTTCTAAAGATTTTTGAGGTGTTAATTAAATTATGATATTTATATTGGAGTATCTTTCACAATATTGCTCACACAGCCACTTAAAGTAATGGCAACATGTATATCTGTCTCTTTTTTTATGTATATTTTATTGCTATTGAAAGGCTTTATCTTGCGAAATTTTGCCTCAATATATGCCATTTACATTTCTAGCCTACTATAGCTTACAATATTATTTAATACTCTGCTTCTATTTTTATGATTTTAATACATTGTTTATGTGACTTTATCAGTATTTTTTGAATAAATCTTTGTGAGAAAATGTTTGATTTTTTTTATTTTGTATTTGGTTCCTTTGGCATGGTATATTGACATATTATGAGTCTGTTTGACTAAAATAATAGGCTGTAGGCTGTGAGTGGCATGATGTCACTCAGGATATGAGTTTCCATTGTTGGTCCACTGTTGTGCCATTACAAAACTGAGAGATTGTTGAATCAACAGTTCTTGGAGAGCCAATATAGATATTTTTTTTGGTATTCAGATCTGTTAACATGGCTTCCCTTTCGCATAGCAAAGTTGACCAATGATCCACTGCAGAAAATTAGAGCTGCTATGGCGCAGTAATAATTATTGTAGTCTGTAGCCTTATATTGATAAATGGAGTCCCTTTGGCCATTCAGTAATTACAATTGTACACAAAATATGATTGCATCAGGTTATGAATATTTGGGTTATTATTCCATAATTTTAACTTTCTGTGATAAATTCATTGGATGACATGTTATTTTTTCAGATAAATCTATGTTAAAAATCAGAACTATTTTTCAAAGTGTAGGAATACGATTACACTGAACCACGTGATAGTGGGTTGGTTATTCGTCAATTTAGAGGAAGTGGTTTCTTGGAAGAGCTGTCATTGTTTACATTTCTGTTTGTTTTTATTTATTTGTCAAAAATGGCAAACATTAGTTATATTTTAGTTTTGTTAGTAGCCCTGTTTTGTTTAGCTTTGTCTGCAACTGTTCCACCAACAACTGACTATGATACAACCACCACAAATGTTCCACCGACTACCACCCCTGTGATGACAACCAGCATACCATCTGAACCAACTACTACCCTTACACCTGAACAAGGTAGAGTATGTCTCTTGACATGGGAAAACTATGGCACTAAAAAGGGATAGATCTGTATTACTCTGTTGGATCACTAAATGATCAAGCATTTGAAAACTCATGCCATATTTGTTGTTAAACATCATGACAAGTGAAGCAACAGTTAAGATTAATTAAAGCACAGTGAAGTATGCAAAAGGAGAGACTGTTGTGAAGCTGAAGTTGTATGCTAGGGGCATTTGTCGCATGATAATGTCACATGTTGTATCAGACCTGCCAAAGCGATAACAAAAAAATACTAGAACCGTTATAACGGTACCGAAGCAGTGCGCATCCAACCTGATACATCGATAAAACGTTGCATTTTAAAGTCACAATGGGATTTCTTACCGGAAAGAAAAGCATGTAAACATTCAATAGTAGAAAAAATCGTTTAAACCGTTTACCGTTCGGTAGTGAAAAGACGCATAAATTTGATACCATTCGGTACTAAAAGGTGTTAACATTCGATAGTAAAAAGTCGAATTTTCAAATAGCTGTAAAGTTAAAAGTTCAATTCGCACAACAAAAATGAAAATATTTTTGGAAAGATACAAAAATTTGTGCTTCGGCCAAGAGGTCAACAGAGGTCAAATAAAAGAGAATATAAGACTTAAAAATGTTGAAAATTGCTTTTTTAGGATGTTTGTAAAAGCGAAAATATATGTCGGACATCAAAGATAAAAGTATGAATGGACATCGTAGATCAATAACCTTTGACATTCTAAAGACCAAGATTACGCATGTAAATGGTCAAAATATCAAAACTTTATAAATTGTAAATCGTATTCCCTTTTTTAAAGTAAAATGCCTAAACAAAATGTAACTCTATCAGATATTGTCCCAAAAAGTGCTTTAATTTTATGTAAAATTTCGATGGTGAAAAATACAAACTTTAAGAGTTAAAACAATTTGAATTATTTATGGTAAAGGTAAAAGTAACCTGGATTTGCCACGCCCACTGCAAAAATTTTGTGCTGTCTGTAATAATGTGTACAATGTCAAATAATGTTCAAAATTTCAAGTGTTTACAATCATTAGATCATGAGATATTCGTAGTTAAAAGTTTTTTTAAGGCAACGGTGACTGTCGGTGGATTATAGAAACCGTTAAAATTACGCAAAGTTACTATAGAAGTCAATACAAAATTTTCAAATTCAATTTCAATCAAAATACCAAGTGTTATATATCATTTGAAAGAATAGATTGCGTGTAATAAGGACAAAAGATAAATTTTCGCTTATGTAAATTAGGTCTGTAAAATCGGAAGTATATGTTGCACATCAAAAATCAAAGTAAGAATGGTCATCTTAGATCAATGACCTTTGACCATGCAAAGGTCAAGGTCATTTACGTTAAAGTTCAAAAATAAAAATTTTTGAAATTGTTAAACCTGTTCCCTTTTTTAAAGTAAAGAACGCAAACAACTTAAATCTTATCACAAATTGTCCTAAGCAGTGATCTACTTTCATGCAAAATTTCTAGGATGACAATTGAAAACTATGAGAGTTATAACAATTGCAAATATTTCAGGTAAAGGTAAATGCCCACCGGATGTGCGAAGCCCAATTCAAAAATTTTAATTTGTCTGTGATGATGTTTACATTGTTAAATAATGTTCAAAATTTCAAGTCTTTACAATCATTAGATCATGAGATATTCGTAGTTAAACTTTTTTTAGGGCAACGGTGACTGTCGGTAAATTATAGACACCGTGATTTTACGCACAGTTACTATAGAAGTCAGAACAAAATTTTCAATTTTTAAAACGCGCAATTTTGATCAAAATATCAAGTGTGATATATCACCAAGAAGGAGATTTTATGCACTCAAAGAATATATAAGAATTTTTGTCGTATGTTAATTAGGTCACGTGACAGAGCTCTTCAAAGTTAAAAATCGTGATTTTCCAATGGCTGTAGAACCGGAAGTTAACGATGCACAACAAAAGTGAGGATATCATCGGATATATCTCGTATGGGGCAACAACTTTTGTTCAGGTCACAAGGTCACCAAAGGTCAAAGTCACTAGATATGAGCCTTAATATTTTCGACAATTACTGAAAACATAAAACCGGAAATAAAAAAAATATGAATCCAAAATTCAAAAATCGGCTTCCTAAGTTTTGTTAGCAATCGATTGCAGATTCTTTAGACACCAAAATCACACAAATCAGATTTACCCCTGAAGCTTAATATCGATTTTTACAAAAATTGGTCACATCAAGATGGCGTCTTAACACGTTACTTCCGGTTCAAATTTTTTCATTCCAAAATTGTTATAGGGACAATTTTAACTAATTTCAAAAAGAATTTTTCAAATACCTACAAAATTCCGGAAGTTGAAATTTCAAGTTTAGAGGCGAATGACGTCAAAACCGGAAGTGATATCGAAATTTTGAAAATAGTTTTTTGTCAGGAATCAAAATGCTTATCTACTATTAAATTTTTAGACCGATTGAAATAAAATTGTAGAAGTTGAAAAAAACGCTAAAATTAAAACAAAAAAAGTCAGCGACAAAAGTCAAAATCTGAAATTTTATAAAGTGCTATCTTTTAGTCATTGGTTTAAAGTAATGAACAAAACAAAAGTTACTGTCAAAATAGATGCAGAATTAGAGCAGTAATTCGAAAAATACGTAATGAATAGTTAACGTCATACGTCATTTCCGATTGGAAGAAAATGCGTCATTTTATATTTAAACAGTAGCGACACGCAAAGTATTAGAAATAATAGTGTCAGACAATGTGTGACGTGCAGTTTTGGCTGGGGAGCGTGTCCAGAAGTAGACAAAAAAAAAAAAAAAAAAAAAAATAGTCATTTGCAAAACAATGCAGTGACCAGAAATAGACACTTGGCTTGGTATGTAGGTAGATTTTTTTTAATCAACAATCGTGAGTACCATTTTTGACGAGAAATTCGTGAGCTTGATTTGTTGATATTTTAATCAATAATTGCTTGATAATATTTAAAATGTTTTTATAACTTGGATTGCGGGTGAGAATTAGTAGTCGCGTTATGAGTTATTATGAGTAAATTTTATTTTGTTACCGTTGTAACCAAAATATATTAATACTGTTTTGACGTGTTACCATTTTATCTGGATACTTTATGCCACTGTCCCACTTCTCCTATTATTAATTCTTTGCACATCATTTCTGGTGCTCCATTATCGAAATCTCAATTCTTTTTTTTTTTTTAAATTTACACACCTTCCTGAGCTTAGTCTACAATAGTTGCAGCAACCATTCAACATTCACGGACCTTAGATATAGGCGACGATGTGCATAAATATATTCTGGAACTTTTTTGCATGACCGGAAGTGCCACAGTTCATTATGTGCAAAAATAGAAAATCGGCTCTAGAAGTCGCATTTCTGGGTCGATTTTCTTCAGGTTTGCACTTTTGAAATCTACTCGCAATATCTGAAATGATAGATCTTTAAAAATTTGTAAATTCGAAAATTTGTCGCAGACATTTTTCAGAAAAATTTTGCAATTTTTTTTCCAGCTTTTTTATTTTTTGTCTGATTAATCTAAAATTTTGGGTGCAAAGAAAGTTCACTAAAGTCAGAAAAACAATACATTCAAATTTTTTGCTTTAGGAAATTGATTTAAACTTCTGGTTGGTAACTTCCGGTGTAATTGAAATAGGTCAACGGAATTTAGGCTGATCGATAGCCCAACCAAAGACAAAAAAACGAAAGAAAAAATTCCAGACCGGAAGTAACACTTTGGCTGTCATATTGATATGACCGACTTTTGTAAAACTCAAAATGGGGCCTCGGGATAAAGATGGATGTGTGCAATTTTGATGTATATGTAAATTTTAATCGATTGCGCAAAAAACTGTGGGAGCCGATTTTTTAATTTCGCTTTTGCTTTTTTGCAACTTCCGGTTGAAATTTTTATTAATTTGTGTCCTTGACTTTTGATGATCAGTTGATACTTTGACATTTGGCCTCCGACTTGTACTTCCGGTTTTATAGCTGTCCAAAAACAGCCGAATTCGCAACTTTGGACTGCTCTAGCACGTGACCTAAATAACCTAGAGGGTTAATTTTTTCGGATTCTTAATGTGCTTATCATGCTCTTTCAAGTGATATATAAAAGTCGTTTTTTAAAGCAAAATTGAAATTTGTGATTTTTTCAAATTTGAGTGTTTCTGTCTCTTTGAGCTTGGTGTATGTATATCTTATGACCTATTTGGTGCAGAACATTGAAATTTGGAACACAAAAAGACAATTTGAATATGAATTCACCTATGACAAAAAAGCTGAGGTGGGCGTGGCACATCCGGGTTGAATTACTAATTGTTTACATTTAAGGGCAGGGGGCATAACTCGCATAGGACTTTGCACACAATTACCTCATCCTTTAAGCCAGGTTGTGTTAACAGCTCAGTTGCTTCAGCTTTATAGTTCCGAAAAAGGAAAAGGTTTTAGAATTCCCATATTTTCAATTTTGACCTTTGATGATTTTTGTTAACCTATATCCTTTGACCAGTATGATGTAGAAGCTTTAAATTTGGAACACAATATAACATTTTGAATATCAATTTACTTGTGTCAAATAAATGAGGTGGGTGTGGCACATCCGGGTTAAATTACTCATTATTGACTAAGAATACATTTGTTCAAAATGGAACTTTGCATACTATTACTTCATGGTTTGAGCCACTTTGTCTTAGACGTTCACCTGTTTCAGCTTCCTAGTTCAAAAAAAGGAACTGGTTTTGAATATTCAAAATTTTCAATTTTTGACCTTGACCTTTGTAAGATCAAACGCCATTGGCATTGGCTATCTATTTATACTTTATTTGCTGTCCTATGTCAACTTTCGGTTTTATAGCTGTATGCGATTTGAAATTTTGATGACGTATATCTCTTGATCTTGACCTTTTTAGACCTTCTCCTTTACAAGATCAAAAGACATTGACCTTGGCTATCTGCTGATACTGTCATTTGTGAGGCCTGATGTCTACTTCCGGTATTAGAATCTTCTAAAAAATGAAAATTTCTCAACTTTAGACTGTTCTTGAACTTGACCTTATTATCGTGGAAGGTTGATTTTTTTCAGGGTCTTTAGCAATTTGCTACATTTGCAAAGTCCCACTCTGTGCCACGTGTGGCTCTAGATTTTAAAATTTGAGGTGATCAGGTGCAAAAATACGGTTGTCTACTTAAACAATTTCTGTCTGAAACAATACATGTGTAACATTGATTTTTTACAAATAATCATCGTCATTTATAAAAAACCAAACTGTTCAAATTGTAAAGTTGGAATTTATCTTTTATTAATTGAAATAATTGTGTTAAATATAATTCGTATGTGGCATCTATACCTTATACCAAAAGATTTCTTTTGATCAGAAGTTATCATCAAAAGTGTGAAATGTGAAATTTCTTTGATAACACTTACACTTTTGCCAGCGCCTTATATTGAACAGTAACTTGTTTTTTTTCAATCATTTTAATCACTTTACACCTGCTTTCAATGTAAGGGATCACATCACATACTGCCAATGACTAAAAGATAGCACTTTATGAAATTTCAGATTTTGACTTTTGTCGCTGACTTTTTTTGTTTTAATTTTAGCGTTTTTTTTTTAACTTCTACAATTTTATTTCAATCGGTCTAAAAATTTGATAGTAGATAAGCATTTTGTTTCCTGACAAAAATCTATTTTCAAAATTGCGATATCACTTCCCTTTTTGACGTCATTCGCCTCTAAACTTGAAATTTCAACTTCCGGAATTTTGTATTTGAAAAATTCTTTTTGCAATTAGTTAAAATTGTCCCTATATCAATTTTGGTATGAAAAAATTTGAACTGGAAGTAACATGTTAGACGGCATCTTGATGTGACCAATTTTTGTAAAAATCGATATTAAGCTATTAAGCCGATTTTTGAATTTTGGATTCGTATTTTTTTTATTTCGGTTTTATGTTTTCAGTAATTGTCAAAAACTATTAAGGCTCATATCTAGTGACTTTGACCTTTGGTGACCTTGTAACCTGAACAAAAGTTGTTGCCTCTTACAAGATATCTGATGCTATCCTCACTTTTGTTGTGCATCGTTAACTTCCGGTTCTACAGCCATTTGAAAATCACGATTTTTAACTTTAGCTCTGTCACGTGACCTAATTAACATATGGCAAAAATTCAAGTGCATGAAATCTCCTTTTTGGTGATATATCACACTTGATATTTTGAACAAAATTGCGCGTTTTAAAAATCGAAAATTTTGTACTGACTTCTATAGTAACTGTGTGTAAAATCACGGTGTCTATAATCTACCGACAGTCACCGTTGCCCTAAAAAAAGTTAAACTACGAATATCTCATGATCTAAGTGCATGAAATCTCCTTTTTGGTGATATATCACACTTAGTATTTTGATCAAAATTGCGCGTTTTAAAAATTGAAAATTTTGTACTGACTTCTATAGTAACTGTGCGTTAATTCATGGTGTCTATAATCTAACTATAGTCACCGTTGCCTTAAAAAACGTAAAACTGCAAATATCTCATGATCTAATGATTGTAAACGCTTGCAATTTTGAACATTATTTAACAATGTACACCTCAAATTTAAAGTGGGCGTGGCACATCAGGTGTGCATTTACCTTTACCTGAAATATTTGCAATTGTCATAACTCGCAAAGTTTGCAATTGTCAACCTAGAAATTTTGCATGAAAGTAGATCACTACTTAGGACAATTTGTGATAATATTACAGATGTTTGCGTTCTTTACTTTAAAAAAGGGAACAGGTTTAACAATTTTAATAAATTGTATTTTTGAACTTCAACGTAAATGACCTTGACCTTTGCATGGTCAAAGGTCATTGATCTAAGGTGACCATTCTTACTTTGATTTTTGATTTGCAACATATACGGTACTTCCGATTTTACAGACGTCCGAAAACAGCAATTTTCGAAACTTCAAAGGCTCATATTACTTTTATTTAACCTTTGTTGACCTTTTGATCTGAACAAAAGTTGTTGCCCATTACGAGATATATCCGATAATATTTTCACTTTTGTTGCGCACCATTAATTTCCGGTTCTACAGCCAATTGAAAATTGTGATTTTTAACTTTAAAAAGCTCTGTCATGTGATCTAATTTACTTATGTGAAAATTTCTCTTATGCCTTTATTACACACAATCTATTCTTTCAAATGATATATAACACTTGGTATTTTGATTAAAATTGCGCTTTTTAGAATTTGAAAATTTTGTATTGACTTCTATAGCAACTGTGCGTAATTTTAACGGTTTCTATAATCCACCGACAGTCACCGTTGCCTTAAAAAAACTTTTAACTACGAATATCTCATGATCTAATGATTGTAAACACTTGAAATTTTGAACATTATTTGACATTGTACACATTATTACAGACAACACAAAATTTTTGCAGTGGGCGTGGCAAATCCAGGTTACTTTTACCTTTACCATAAATAATTCAAATTGTTTTAACTCTTAAAGTTTGTATTTTTCACCATCGAAATTTTACATAAAATTAAAGCACTATTTGGGACAATAATTGATAGAGTTACATTTTGTTTGGGCCTTTTACTTTAAAAAAGGGAATAGGTTTTACAATTTATAAAATTTTGATTTTTTGAGCATTTACATGCATGACCTTGGTCTTTAGAAGGTCAAAGGTTATTGATCTACGATGTCCATTCATACTTTTATCTTTGATGTCCGACATAGATTTTCGCCTTTACAGACGTCCCAAAACAGGAATTTTTCAACGCTTTTAAGGCTTATATTTCTTTTATTTGACCTTTGTTGACCTCTTGACCGTAACACAAGTTATAGTATCTGACAAAAACTTTCTATAAATATTTCCATTTTTGTTGTGCGATTTGTTTTTTTAACTTTACAGCTATTTGAAAATTCGACTTTTTACTACCGAATGTTAACACCTTTTAGTACCGAATGGTATCAAATCCATGCGTCTTTTCACTACCGAACATTAAATGGTTTAAACAATTTTTTTTTTACTATTGAATGTTTACATGCTTTTCTTTCCGGTAAGAAATCTCATTGTGACTTTAAAATGCAACGTTTTATCGATGTATCTGGTTGGATGCGCATTGCTTCGGTACCGTTATAACGGTTTTAGTTTCCCCTTGTTGTTGAATTAATTTATGAGTTAATTAGTTTGTGATTGTCTAAAAATAGATGTCCTTATGCATTTTTGTCATGTCAAATTTTTTGCAGAGACTTTTGACATTGCACTCAGTCATTCATACACAAGTCATTAATTATTGTCACATATAGTTATATTATTTTGATAATTACAGAATGTGGGAGACATAATGGTTCTTGTGAAGATTGTGTAAAAGCTGCTGGGGCTCGGGTATGTATTGTACATTGGCTTGGTATTCTTAATTCTTGTTTGGATCTTACTTGGTTTATGCTCTATAATACAACAATAATTACTGTGGCAATCGTGGGTTGTTACTCATGAGCAGTTAGCTTCCTGGGTGTTCTATTTGTTTAGGTCAACTTTGTATCACATTTATGGCTTAAAATTTTGAATTTGTTTATTTTATTTACTTGAATATTGCCACTATTTGTTTGTTGGTCTAAGCTATTTGTTGAGGTGGTCATTGAGTTTATATCTGTGTTAGTTTAAACTGTAAGCATCAACTATATTTTCAGTGCCTGTACTGTAACAGAGATGATAAATGTAAACCCTATCCTATTAAGAAAATTTTACCTGGTGATGATGATTGTCCACTAGCAGAAGCTAGATGGTCTGTCTGCTGGTGTAAGTCATGGCATCATGATTCTTATAAATTCACTAGCAAGACCACTCTGGCCCTTACCAAATTCTCAGATGTGATATACGGAAGTGATTTTAGTTATGAACAATTTTTCTTCAGTCATGATGACTGTTCCCTAAAAATGGTCAGGATGAATTCCAATGTAAAACAAAATTGAATTTTTTGCCTTCAACTGTGACAAATCACAATCTGATTTCACATCATGTCTGACAGACTGTGTAGGCCAGAGTTGTCATGTTATATATCCACATCCACAGCTGACTCTGATACTTTATGACACGTTTTTTATATAGATTTAAACAATGTATTTATATTTAATACCAAAAGGGTATTTCAGCTGTTATCTGGCAGAAGTATGTAATTCTAAGAAGCCATACTCATTTATAATTGATGACCAGCTTGTATGTTAAACTTGTTATCAGTTGCTGGCTTAAAGATGGGTTTCGTTATTTTTTAGTATCAAATTAAGCAAACTATTTTGGTGCTTCTAGTGAATTATCATGTATTCTTAATAATATCATCACATACAAAATTTAAATACCTGTTTACAATCCCTTTAATAATAGTCTTTCACTGTTTTGGATTGAATGTTTTTTTCTTGCAGTAAATTTTGAAGGTATGTTAATTGGAGTAGGAGTGGTAGGTGGTATCATACTTTTAACAATAACTTGTTGCTGTGTATACTGCTGTTGTTGTAGGGGTGGAAATGATAAAAAGTAAGTCTGCAAGATATTTCATTCCAATTTAGTCGTCTGTAAAACTTACAAACAAATCATTCAGAATTATTTTGCCAGGTTGTGTTGTCAGAAATGATAAAGATACATGAGGCACAACCTGGATACTGGTGTTTTTTATACATTATAATGTGGTTGTAAATTGTCGTTGCCCCTGATTTTTCAATGAATGAAATTTATTGCCCTTGACTCAGTAAAAAAGGATCAAAATTTGTTGGCTTGTGTGTGGTTTAAATCACACAGATCTGCGATCACTCTTGATACAGAAAACTTATCAGGAAACTGCGTGTATCTGGCTAGGCAACCACTTGTTACATATTTTTATGACCCATTTTGTTTTTGTTTTCCAGATGGGCTCGCGAGGATGCTAAGTGGGAAAGACAGAAGAAGGAGCGAAAGGAAAAATCTGATGAAAGAAAATTAGAGAGAAAAGACAGATTGGATGAGATCAGACGTAAATATGGTGAGTTGAATTCAAACGTAACAGGAGAGCCTTAATTTAGCTCAAAATAATTACTACTTACTCTTTTGGATATCAGAAATTCAGAAATAATGTAGATACAAATGTTTCTAACAAAAGGTCCAAGTTGGAATACAGATGTGAGTCAATCCAGAAGTTCAAAAATTATTATGAAAATTTGTATATTTAGTCTTAGTGTATTCCTTGGGTGTTGACCAAGGCTGCTTGTACAAGACTACATACAGACTATATTTGATTGTAATTCAATATTGTAGTAAAAGTTATGATCACTGATGAGGATGATGATAGGTATTCTATTTTGAACTCAAGTCCTTTCTCTCAATTACAATTCAATTTTAATTTGCCTTAACGGATGGCCTTTTTGAAATTTTTTGGGGTTTCTGGTATTTTATTATGAAGCCCATTTTATTTTTGTTGATGGAAACTTTTGGTTACCCATAATATGTGTTTGTATGTTAGCATCCATATTCTTTTGTTTACATTTGGGTGTATCCTGTACCCAAATTTTCTTTGAGGTACCGGTACCAGTATTTACCTAATATGTTCATCTTTTATTCTGTTTTTCGAGATTTCATAAGGGCTAAGGAATTTATTGGGAAAAAGAAGGATAGTTTGTGAGAATGTGCATCTTATAAAAATGTTTAACAATTTCTATTTGTGTACATACAAATGGAATTTTCTACTTAGAAGGGAATCGGAATTTTGTACACTTGTACCTTTTCATTTGAATAAAATATTGTTTACAACAAAAATAATGGAATTATCAATAAAAGAGGGATTTTTGAGGAATGAATGTAGACTTTTTTGCGTTCATTTATTGATGAACACAGAATTTTCACATGTTAATTTGAATGAATTTATTTTCTTTACATACACCATCTTTTTCATCATGGTGACTGTTGAAATTATAGGCTACACTTAGTTACCACAGGACTTAGTAATTTCTTCATACTTTCTTGGTGTTTTTATTTTAATACAAGTCTAATTTTCTATCCATTTCAGGTCTAGTGAAGGACGACAACGCCTACGAGAGGTTTGATGCTTAAACTTACATAAACACCAAAATAAATCAAACAATCAAACTTACTTGTTATGTTAATCTGTGTAAAAATATATGGGTCATACAGAAGCATAAGATAGGTGGATTTCATATCTGAATGTAGTTATCAGTTACTTTCAGATAATATTCAAATAATCATGATTCGTTTCAAAACCTTAATTCTTTTACTTACATAATAACTTTATTTTTGTGTGTATGTACTATAAACATGAAAATTTAGACACAGCTATAGGCCTCAGTTATGCAAATGAGTTGACTAGAAATAGTTCTTATGCTTCTTTTTAACTTTGAATAGACAAACAGAATGATAAGGTCATAAGACAAAACAATATAATTTCAGTTAAGTTTAATTGCATGGCATATAATATTTTAATCTAAATTTCAATAATTTTGCTCATGAAGTTTGAAACGTTCATTTTTCAGCCAAGAATTGATGCAGGCTGTACATTAGAATATTTTGAAAAAAGAATAAAAACTTAACTGGATCTCAAAACAAGTATTTAAATTTTGATGGCTACAAAATTTGTTTATTTGTTTCTTATGCCAAAAATAGGAATTTGAAAACTAAATTTCTGCATTAACTTATTAAGGAATGACCTATAAAACTGGAAATTTTCTCATTTTCCAATTAGCTGCTGTTATATGTTTGTCTTAAATTGTACAAAATGATAATTGAATTTTGATAAAATTGTATAATACTTAAAATTCTTATAAATAGAACTATTATCATCTCTCTCACTTACCTGAGTTGACTTTGATCAAATTTACAATATATAATCTATACTTGTAACAAATCAATACTTGTCACAGCAGGGCTGTTGATTTATTTTTTGTCAACTGGACATTTGTCAATGACCTCAGAAATCTGATCTCATTCTCTCCTTACCTTGAGAGAAGGTCTTTTTATTATACTGGTATTGACATGATGTTTGGCAAAAATGAATTCAACTGTGTGATTTTACCAACAGTTCAACAGTAATTAAAAGAAAATTCAAGTATTCCAGGCTTAAACTAAGTGCTAGTCAAGAATTTAAAGGTATCAAATTATCAGAAGTTCTGTAACTGATTTCAAAGGTTGATTGGCCTTGACTAATTCTTCTAATTTAAAACAGAATAAATGCTTTAGTTATATTTCAGGAAGTCTTGTCTGTTAATTAATGTCAAAATTGGTATAATCCATATGATATGGCATGATAATATATATATGCATTGAGTCTTGAAGCCATTTATATTTTATCGTGTGTGTGTGCCTTAAGCATTCTCATCAATTATTCTTGCATATTTCTATTTTTAGTAGAGAAATGAAATAACAATGGTATAATTTGGTGCTTAATAAAAATCATATATTTTCTGGTAAACTTTTGTTATCCACCCAAAACTTGCTTGCTGTCAATTTGAAAAAGATATCTGAAAGTAAAGAATTTGTCTCAACTAACCCCAATCTAGGAATGATATATATGAAACTACAATTTCAGCCTGTCCTGAAGATCTTATAGAATGACAGGACCAGGCGTCAAAGATTTTTGTATCTTGTATTAAGAGAAATGTTTACTATAACAAAAATGACAGCCATTAGTTTTAACCTATTCTATTTTCTTACAAAGTAAGATTTTTCAGAGACAAAAGAACTAAATTCTTTACTTTCAGAGAGTTATTGCACTAATATTATAATATAAAAATATATAAAATTCCTTGGACCTACACATTTTCATTTTTTAATTCATATTATATTAATATCACTTTGTAAATATTATGAAATGTATTTTTGCTGTTAATGATAAAAAAGAATATTTTGTTGCATGTTAGTGTATAATATTTTTGTCTCGTGCCTTTATAATTGTAAATTAATCTATTTTTTATGTCAAATAGTGATTCTTAATGTATATTTTTAAATCAGTGCTTCAAGAGGTATTGCAATATAAAAGATATTCAGGAACGGTCAATACCAATGCTGTCTGTTTATCGGTCTTACCTCTTTTGATAGGCTAAGTACTACATAACGTGGCATATAAGCAGCACAAGTTATAGGTCAATAAGACAATTATTATGGATAGATACTTCTAGAATATTTATTACTTTCAACGTTTCAATGTTTCTCATAGTCGTCAGAAATATAATGAAGGACAGTGTAAAAACCTCATCGAAAGGATGGAAGTAATGAATTTTGTAGAAGTATTTATCCATAATAATTGTCTTATTGATCTTTCAACAACTAGTAATATTCTGTCCCCTTATGTATAACATCCGACAGTCAAACCTTGAGTCATGTTCTTACCTTCACTTGTCCTGCAGCTCTATTTGTCAGTATGCATGCTTAAACACAACCTAACTGCATATTTATCATGCAAAATTTTTATTATAAACTAACACATCAAAAGATTTTAAAGGTGGCTAAAGAGCAATTGGAGATGAAACACAAAAAATTGTTAAACTCATTAAAGAAGGCAATAATTTACCAAAAATCCAGCATACCAGGGTTTGACTATGCAAAATGTTATATTATATGATATTGCAAACTGCTCAAACTGTGTAATTATCTAATAATTTATAGTATTTATTAAACTACATTCCTACTTTACGGTGGCCCTTTTGCAGTTGTCCATGTTTTAAGCTGGAATAAAGAATGTGGCCTTGCAATCTTTGATATATTGGATAATGTCTTTCTGTTGCAGTCAATTTTGTCATCTGGCTGCCTCTGGTTCATGATTACTGCCAACGAGTTGAACACTGGACTGTTTGAAACCTTACCATTACAGCATACAAAATAATTGAATTTTTTAACTTTGTGATTTTTCTTGATTGTACAATGAGTGTATGTCCATGTGATTTTGATGTCAAATAATTATTTTATATTTGAAACACCAATCTAAGTAAGAGCTTACATAAAATAAATATATTATTTAATTCTGTTCTTCTTTCATTCTTGTACCAAATCTATTTGAAATGGCAAGTAAATTGTAACAAAAAGGAATTGTTGATTTGGAGTGTGGTTCATTGAACTGATTTTGTGTAAAAAGATCTCAAATGAACAGAGCTGTAGCTCAATGTACTCAAAGTATTAGCTGTTTTCCCATATCATGAAAACTGTTCTGTTTCAGTCAATGTACTAATAGTATTTAAGTCACATTTTTATTTCACATTTATTTTCACTGAGTCAATATAAGTACATGTATATGCGACAAGGATCCATCTAAG